GTCAAACACACGCTGAGGAGACTTTTGAATAGCATAGCATTCTAGGCTGTCTCTAGTAGGACCTGATTGGGAAACAACGAGTTGGGCGTCTGAGGATGACATGGAGAAAATCTTATGAAGAGGAGATGAAAACTTACAGGTGACCATGGAGCCAGCTAAAGAAGGCAGTAAAGTACAAGGTGAAGTGTAGACGTGCTGGTGAAGCGTTATATTTCACTCTTAGCCCAAGGGAGTAGTAATAATAAACTGAAGGTCTTCCATAAGTTTGACTACTGCATTCAGTGGTCAGCCCCTCTCATCTTGGATAGTGAAACTCTGTTAGCTGTATTGCTGGAAAACGGTCAGTAATTTCGGATGAAGAACAGTCATACTATTTTCGAATCTGTGTAACTACATTTATTGTTACTTAGATTTACTATCTATTCTATTCTATTGCTAATTTCACCTTTTATTGTTAACTTCAGTCCTAAACGGTTATAAGTGAACACACAAAACGAAAATTAAAGTTGGAATTTGAATTGATAGAGAAAATATGTAGCCCATGTGGATGTTTTCAGTGCTGCATTCTCTTAGCTGTGTGATTTAGCTGAGAACCTTTTATCGTCCTTCTCTTTATGAACGAAACGATCGTCTCGTCTAGGGTTCTTGACCAGGAGTGATGGTCTTCAGTGATTCTCCTATCATTGCTATTGGCCAGCCTCTGGAGACAACCAATCAAAAACTGAAGGTCATCTACAAAAGACGGCTGTCTCATTCATAGAGAATTCCAAAAGCTCGCTTGACTGTGAAGCAAGCTGTGAACATGTTGTGCGGTGACCCAGGTCTGGAAAGGATAGGCGTCAGTTTACAAAAGGGTATCCGATGGTCTCCAGAAGCCTAACTCATCTCTTTGACGGCTTGCTGAGTTCCGTAATATGCAGTGTAGCAGAACATTGGTGACGGTCTAAATATTTTACCAATAATAATAAAAATCACGGTACAAGAGGAGCAGTCAAGCTCACGAGGCGAAAAGAGCTAGGCTGCTCGGGACCACCAGATACCCTCTTTTAAACTGACGCCTTTCCTTCCAGGACCTAACTCCCTGCAGCTATTAAAACAGACAGTGAAATCTGCTCATTTCAATGCCTTTGATTTTCTCTAAAAATTGGGTCGCAGACTGGATGGAGTGATCACATGATTTCGTCAAGTGTTTCAGTCTTCTGCATAGCTCTTTGGATAAATTGTATGTTGGGGTTCCTGGGAGTGATACGATTGGTCGTAGAGGTATATTTGGCTTGTGTATTTTTGGTCTGCCGTAGAATTGAGGTATGACGGGTCCACTGGATTTCATTCGCCATTGATCTTCTTTTGTGATCTGACCCGTTTTGGTGAGTTTGCTTAGGGTTCTTTGGATGCGGTTGTTTAGTGTTTCGATGGGGTTTGTTGTTAGTTGTTGGTATATTGTTTGATCTTTGAGTAGTTCTTCCGCTTTTGCAGTGTATTCTTCTTTGTCCATGATTACTGTAGTCCTTCCTTTGTCAGCTGGTACTATAACGATATCTTTCCTGTTTTTCAGTCTTTTGAGGGCTTTTTGTTCTTGTGAGTTGAGTTGTGTGTGTCGTTTTCTTTGTTTAACTATAGGCACTATTGTTTGACGTATCTCTTCTTGTGTTTCTTCACTTAATTTTGATGATTTGAGTGTTGATTCAAGAGCAGCGAAGAAGTCTGTTTTCGAGGCGTCTTCAGTGTTGTAGTTTAATCCTTTTTGAAGTAGTTGTTGTTCCATTTTTGACAGCGGCTGTTTTGATAAATTGACTACGCAATCAATTGGTGTATTGTTCGGCTGTTGTTTTTTGATTTTGATTAGCTTGGTTCTGAGAACTTTTCGTCTACGTTCTCTGTGTCTACTACTTGTCAGTGCGACTGCGGTGATCATTGTTGAAAGGTGTTCTTGGCTGAGGATTTTCTCTAGTTTCTCTTTTTCAAAGTCTATTATTTGTTGATATTTCTTGATTCTATAATGTGCATCTGTAATCATTAGTTTAACCATTTTTCTTCCACACTGTTCAGCTAATTTCCATCCCATTGGGCAGTTGATTGGTGGCTTATATCTCACGCTGGCTGGTAGAATTTGATGACGAAGGCACTCATGGAGAAAAAATAGTTGTTCTCTGGTGGATCCTTGCCGTTTGGCGAAGTCTTCCCACTTTCGAACAGAAAGAAGCGTGTTCTGCTCGTATGATTTAGATATAATTATTATATTATAATTATATATTATATATATATATATATTATATTATAATTATTATAATATTATATCGAAATCTGCTCACTCGAACTATTCAAATGGGAGAACGCACTAATATCAGGAGATCATCTTTAGATTTAAAAATCAATTGTTATATATTATAGCATCAGTAAAAAGTGAAACAGTACAGTCTAGATATTTAAGCTATATTGGATTATTTCACGAATGTTAAGAAATTTTAAACAAACGATTATATTTTAAAAGTAGTACTGTTTTAACTCTGCGGAATTCGAGCAGAGAGATAAAAAGATGTGTATCACATTTGAAGTCAGAAACCTAGTGGAGTGTAGAGGAAGAAAGTGAACTTTTTGAGTCGGAACACATTCATGAAAACGCTGTCCAAAGTGAGAAAGACCATACATTGTCACTGACGGATGTGGTTATTTTCATACCATCAAAAGAGGTGACAAACAGCAATGTATTAACACTAGTCAACTTCAGAGGTGGATACAATGGGATAAAGAAGTCTGCCCCATGGCACAATAAGAGCCGGTAATACCAAGAGAGTCGGAGCGGCTGCGCCTGGTACTTTTGTTTCGGGGGACTAGTGTGTTGAGTACTACTGACAAGAATTTAAGGGTAGTTTACTGCTTTCTTCAAGAATCTTGAATAGCGGAGGGATGGATTAAGCTGTGTAGAGGAGAAATAAGGGGTCCTTATCAGAACATAAAGAAAGAATGAGAGGAAGGCATAAGAAACACGATACAGAGAACTCGTGCAAATGGAAATTTCAATGCAGGAGTTTTGTATTTCGCTGTCCTTGAAAATCATTCGATAAGTATATAATTCTGTGCCCTGCCAATATGCTATCAGTAGACTTTATTTGAAATCATTTATTGTACTACATCAATTTATTGGTCAGTCTGGACAGTCAGCTAATTATAAATATTGTCACTGGGCGTTGTCTGTTTGCTTAGAATATACATATTTATGATGCGTTGTTTTTTAGTGAGGAAGTTGATATTTATAGTCTCATTCGTTTTCGAATGTAACAATATACATGTCACTGAAATACTGTTGTAACTTGCTCCTCTTCATCTCAGTCAGAGTTAAACATTTCTGTCTGTTTTTGACATAGAACTTTGCACATATGTGCGGTAGTTCAAGTCACCACACTCCCTCCATGCAGCACACAAAGCAAGAGAAGAAAGTGGGAGAAATGCACATTTGAGACAGTAAAAGGAGGTGTGAGACAAGGGAATAGTAATAACGAAGAACAAAACAGTTTCATTGGAAACCATAAGTCACAAGGAGTGGATGCATCGGTGGCACAGTGGTTAGGACTCTCGCCGACCATGCACATGGTCCGGGGTTCAATCCCCTGCCGATGCACACCCGATATCTATGGTCGGCCTGCGAAATTTGGGCTACCGATATCCATGCTGAAAATTCCATACTTGTACTGAAAATACGGTGTGGCATCAAGCTGTAATCAAAAAAATAAATAAAAAAATTGACTGGTGCCATGTTTTGGTTCGACCGCCGCCAGCTCTTTTCCAGCCTGACCCTATACCAGCTAACATTGCCCGTCGAGGAAGGCGATGACTTGGCATACGTAACACATGTCCGAACCATCTGGGGCAGAGTTAAACATACAATTAATCGTCTAAGGAAGATTATTGAAATATATTCACAGTACAATAAGGCATAAATAATCATTTATCTTCCCGTACCAGATGACATTCTCCAGCTATGAAAGTGTCAGAATTTCATGTTTTCCAATGTTCTTTTGCAGCGATCTGACCTCAGTAAGAGAACCACTGAAAACCATAAGGGAGTACTGGACAGTTTGCTTTGTTCTATACTAATACCCTTCAGAAGTGTGCACACATGATCCCACTGGCAGTAATATATTTTCTTCTTCTCCTTCCAAGTGGATTACAGGGCTTCAAGCAAATGGGTTTCCGTAGCAGCGTTGTTGTTTTCGCTGTTTGGGGTTTTCAGATCAACCTTCCCTCTTTTCTAGCCTTACTAGGCCAGTTTTGAGAGGGCTTCAAGCAGCAGTCAAATCCTAACCATGTGTGTGTGTGTGTGTGTGGTTAGTGAGTATTGTACCACTGAACCCTTGATGCTTATGTACACATTCAATCTCACATCATGGATTTCAAAAGGATTTTATTTCATTTTATTTAGCTTTACAATATACTTTTGTTCATTTCATATACAATAGTAAAATGAAGGGAACCAGCAGTGTAAACACTGAAATATAAATCTGATAACATAATAATAATAATAGTAATAGCATTAATTTTCACTTGTCCCTGAAATACATGAAGCGTAATCGGAACAAAGAATACACAGTTGAAAGAATAAGCTCTCCTATGAATAAGTAAACGAAATGGGAATAATAGAATGGGTCAATAGGAATAATTCCTAATACAAGCACCTTTTAATACACCTAGAGAAGATACATGTGTTAGTAGTCAGCAGATGTTGCTTCAATATCTCTTATTATAAAGATGCATATTACTATTTATTATTGTAAAGCGTACTGGAAAATGAAAATGTCTGATCATTTAAAGCAGATTATATTCCATCGATCTCCTCGTTTTGTTTTAATTTGTCTACTTTCGTTAGGAAATATTCGATGAAAACACAAACATAATAAATAAACATGAAGAAGACAATGCTATTGAATAGATGCTAAGCTCCACCGATCAGCAGTGTTGATACCAGTACTCGTATTCAAAGCAATAATAATAATGATAATTATCCCAGCAGTTGATCAATTCCAGTTCTCAACGTGAAGTTGTATTGAACTGTGTGAAATAATCTGCAGTAGGTTGATTTGTATATAACTAAAAAAGGAAGAAGAGAAAAAAAGGAACACTAACTAGTGAAAATTAAAAGTAAATAAAAGTAAATTGTATACAAATGACCATCCTTAATCTTCATATTATTATTATTACTGTTCCCTTGAGTTCCGAGTGGAACACGGGGCTTCAACAACACATCTCCACTTTCTTCTATTTTCTGCTGGCCTCTTTAGCTGGGCCCAAGTCTGCCATAATCTCTCATGTCCTCTTCGCCACACGATCTCCTCCATGTCACCGTCGCACCAACAACCCACTCGTCGCTTCCCATTCATGTTCCACTCGAGCGATGGCCCGCCGAGGGATGTCATTCGATGGTCTCCTTAGCGTATGTCCAATTCATTTCCATTTTCTCTTACATATTTGTTAAGCGAGAGGTTCTTGGTTAGCTTATTCCCTTAGTTTCTTGTTGTTGATTCTTCCTGGACATTTGATCTTCAATACAGTGCGAAGGCAGCTGTTGATAAAAGTTTGCAGTGGCTTGTTTTAAATGCTTTTCATGAAGTGCTAGTCACGTTTCTGACCTGTATAGAAGAACTGACTGACTTCCCATTGGTGTTGAAAATCTGAATCGTGTTCCTCATCTGGTTTACTACCTGTCTAGGTTTCTAGCAGCTCCAAAACCGGAGTAAAGAAGGGGGGTTGGGCAAGGGCCTAGCGACCCTACCCCAGAATATCAATCAAAATGCTACAGAAACTCCAACGCACAATAAAAATAATCTTCAGAGGATGAAATTAATTCCATTCGGTGAGTAATTTCCATTTGTTTTAATTAATAATATTGTCTCATAAAATTTTATTGGTTCCTTCTAACTAGAAATAACCAAATATGGAACTCTGACAGTCCTACTGTCCTACAAGCCAACGAAGAACACGTTGTACAAAAAATATTTAGAAGAATGAGATGGGCAGATCGTCAAGTGACATTACACGCCAAGCTGTCGAGTGAACAAAAAAGAAAGTGAAAACAACGAGTTTGACGTCTGTGGGTGACAAGAATATGATCATGTGAGGTGAAAACAAAACCTCATGAGGCCAGCTCAAAGTGAAAATCCGCTGCTGAAGTAATATGCTCTACTCAGTATGCAAGGTGTAAATGAATAATCATAGTGAAAATAAACTGGGAATAAAGTTTGAAATTACTGGTGTCTATAAGCGTCTAAAAATTATTGTTTTCTTGTTTTTGGTGAGCTGTAATCTACCCTATGAATTTCGAATTTTGTTTTGTTTAAGTTACTTTTAAATCAATGAAATAAAGATTTGAATATAATCGTAGTCAGACAATTATTTCGCTTGAATTTTCAGTAATTACGCATTAAACATACGAGTTAATGCATTATTAAGAGAAATCAAAGATTTGTTCAGCGTAGAAGTCAACAAGGCTGGTAACATTAATTAAGACGCATACAGTGTAAATTAAGGAAATCATACACCTTACATTAATGTTACAATTTGCCGATTCCTTATTGGATCCTTCCACTTATTCCCACTACTTACTTTCTTGTGTTTCTTATTCATTGGTTTTCCCAGTGACATAAAAATAAATTATCATTGCTTTCTCAAAGAGATTACGCGACATACCAATACACTAATTAGTCGTCAGAGTGTAACCAGTGTCATACTTCCAGCCTTTGGTGTTGGTGCTGGCTCAGTTCTATTAGTCAGGTTTGCAATCTAGCCACCAAGCTAAGTGGCTCGTCATTGCAGTACACTGTGAATTAATGTTAGACGGTTAGAGGTAATCGGTGGTAAGCTTCGAAATTACGTTTTTAGCTTGTTGGCACTCATCAGCAAGGTATATCTAAAACAACTTAGAGGAATTCATCTCCCCTCTAGGATTTGAACCTTCGTTACCAAGTACTAAAATCAGAGATGGAAATAATAACATGTATTTAGTCATTGGTTAATCCATGATTACCAGTCAATTTTTTTCATTACAATCCTACAGAAGATTGATCGTCAGCCCAGATAGCTCATTAGCAACGTCTCTAACTGTGTCAGTGGATGACGCAGGTTCGAATCCCAGAGGGAACATGAGTTCCTTCAAGGTTTCAGGTACGCCTGACTGATGAGTACCAATCAACACGAAATGTAAGTTTAGGGTTTCCTGCCAATTGCCTTCAGCCTTTTTAGAACTACTTATATCTGTTTATAAGTAGCACATGTCAAACAAAAAATTCATTTTTCATGCTTCCCAGCAGAATTTATATTTAGAGCCGTAGGTGATTTATTTTTTGAAGTTAATAGTCTACTGGGAGAAATTCAACTATATGAAAAGTCTTGGTTTCCATTACGTGTATGCAGCTGCAGTACTAGCTATCTATACATGAAGGGAAACAAAATCTATATATTCATAAATGTTCTGCCAATGCCTTTCATTCACTTTGGTCTTAACAATCTTCTCTGTGGTTTATTTCATTCAACTTCACCTTATCTCCAATTTTATTGTTATACTTATCATCATCATCATCATCATCATCATCATCATCATCATCATCATCATCATCGTAATTTCGACTTTTCGACAGTATCTTGGATCCACATTAAAGCTCTTAATGTCAGCTTACTCTTTTAATCACCTCTTGTAACTGGGTAATTCATCCACTTCAAACCAAGCCCCAATTGTATTTATCATTTAAAGACTGAGTGATTGGTATTTAGTGTTACTAAAATACTTCTTACAACTTTGTTGTTGAAAAGATGCATTTTTTCGCTATATAAATTTTTATTTATTTTTTCTAGTTCATGGATTAAGAACTAAACAACTACTGAGTGATAATCAATATTGCTGATGTGTTATTACTTTTTTAACTGTGTGTCTGTTTTCGACATAGAACTTTGCATATATGTGCGGCAGTTCAAGTCCCCACACTCCCTCCTTGTAGCACACAAAGCAACAGAAGAAAGTAGGAGAAATTCACATTTGAGAAAGTAAACAGAGGTGTGAGACAAAGGAATAGTAATAACGAAGAACAAAACAGTTTAATTGGAAATCATAAGTCACAAGGACTGGATGCATCTGCACCAGCCATTGAGAACAATTTTGAGCCATGTCGCCAATTGTTTCCAACCATTGGTTTTTATCATTCCGAGGACCCCAACCAGGAAGCCAGTCTACACCTTCCTACGTGGCTTAGACTAACTGTTGTGGATTTCATTGACTGGTGCCATGTTTTGGTTTGACCGCCGCTAGCTCTTTTCCAGCCTGACCCTTTATCAGCTAACATTGCCCATAGAGGAAGGCGATGACTAAGCGTGCATGAGTAACACATCTCCTAACCATCTCAGTCGATGTAATTTCACAGCCTCGTCGATTGATTTCCCCTGCTTACCTGGCACTCGACACCTAACCTCAATATTGCTCACCTTATTATACCACTTCACGCGGGAGATAGAACGCAGACACCTATGATCAAAGACGGATAGTTTTTTATGAATTCCTCTTGATTAGGTTTCATACACAGTAACATTATAGTTTGCTATAATATGCCGAATTGCAGTCAAAAGATACACTTTCTTGTGGGTTTTGTTTTAAATTAACACGAATTATGCTTGATTACTGTTACTTCCTTCAGTTTTGAGTGGAACATGAGCTTCAACAGAACGTCCCTATTTTACTCTGTGGTCATATTGAGCTGACTCCACGGTTTTATAGAAGCTTTGATTTCCTCCTAACACGATGTTATCCTCGATGTCAACCTCAAATGTCCAATTCGTTTATGTGTTAACTTTTTTTACTGGTATACCCAAATCTCGGAAAGGGGGAGATTAGTCGTGGTATTAGCGACCTTCCCTCAGAAAATCAATCTAATCGCTACATAAACATTAAATCAATGAAAATTTTATTTCAAAAAATGATACAACAGGGTACCGTGGCATTGGGACAATTGGATTAATTGCCTTAATGTAAATTTCGTTGTTAAATATAGATATCTATCCAAAGATACTATCCGTGAAATCTTACAGAATGCATAGTAGACTGATAGTTTACTGTATGACTGAGGCTTACATTTTCAAACAGTATAAGCATCCAATCTTGTGGCTTGAATATTTTGGAATTTGTTGAAGACAATGGCATTAGGTTTCCTTTCTTTTTACCTAAATGAATTGTGAACAATTCTTTTAATTTCCTTAAGGTTGTCCTACTTAGTGAATTGACATCACTTATCGGGTTGAAGGTTAACAAGCTGTACTTGAAGTGTGATTATCATTTCATCGATCATTTATAGGGTTGTGAATACACACTGATTACTTAGTTTAGCTTTCGATGAGTTTTATAAAAGTTCCCCTACGAAATGACTTCAGTTTATACATGTCAGTGTCTAGTAGTGGAGAGAAAAATATCAAACAAATTATAAATTAACTTCATAGAGAAGTTAGCTCTGATGATATTGCCTAGGAAGATGATAAAAGCTTCCCAGTTAAATCAAAAAGCTCAGAGAACACAAGTGTACGAAATGAATTAAAAATTAAAAGCCTATTATGGGAATAAGTTCAGTAAATGAAGTTCATGATCTCGAGAAAAATATGAATATACGCGTATAAAAGTGATGTTATAATGATTTGCTTACGAAATACATTTCCATCTATGATTAGAAACTTTTACAACCTGCTTACCTCTTTATTGAGATAATCTTGAAACGATTTCTGTTCACACGCCAGTTTAAGATTTTGTTCAGCTATTTTTTGATTCATTTCACGAGTTGATCTTTCTATTTCTCTTTCTAATAATAAACCCAACCTAGCTGATCTTAATCTCTGATTATCCCATTCTTCATCTTCTTGTTTCTGTCTTGCTAATTCACGCTGTAACAGAAACATTAAAATTTAGTAAAAGTGTATTCTGAGTGCTTTTCAATAAATTGAATAGATATACTTCATTGTCAAATAATGATACATTACATTTTAAATTTTCATAGTGTCAAGTATAGCCTGATAAACTACCACGATATTATCCATTATCTAGATTGAAGTTTAATGATATGACACAGACAAAATCAAATACATTGACAATCGTGGCTAAACACCTTATTGATTTACTCGTCATAATAACAAATCAACCAAGACTTTAATAAATAAAGTTTGGCTACTTATTGGTATGTTAGTAGTCTGTTACAATTAGTGAAAATCTGGGGGTGATAATTCCTGCATTATTTCACTAACTGCAAAGGTTTTACAGAACTTCACCGAACTCGTGAACGCCAGGGAAACGAAACAAGCTTCAAAATGGAGTAAAATTAGTACAAAATTGATGAATATATATCAGTGGCAATCTATAAAAAGTGGTGAAAGCTAAATATCAATCAATCGAGAATTCCTCTGAAGAATGCTTTACATATCTATCTTCCTATATAAATCACTGTGATAAACGAGTATACAAATATTTGAGCAATTAGCACTTGATAACCTTTCTTTCACTTATATTGCGACTACATCTACGGTAGTAAATCTGACGTATTCCTGTGTAGATGAAAAGATTTTGCCCGATTTTATACGTCCCATTGTTGATGATAGAAAAATTACACGTCCGTTGAACAGTGGAGCTATATATGACTGCTCGTCTACTATAATCTCAAGGCAATAGTGTTAAGCATTTGAATACAATTTAAGGTATGAAAATTTCTAATATGATATTAATTAAAAACATATTAGTCAGTGAAGAGATGTCTTTTCCTAACTTCTCATCCATTTTATTCGCAGACGATTAGAAACCACTGCCAACAAAATATTTTATTAGTAAAAGTGAAGATAACGTGTCAGACTTTCTCATTCTCTTCGATATTCAGGAATAAAAACTACCTATTCATTTATTCGCTTGTATTACACATTTTGCTAGATTATTCATTTTCTTACAGTTAGACTAATGAAACTTAGATTTGACTATTTTCATTCCTTTGCATTCCGACTGGAACATAAGTCTTCAAGCTTGACCTCTCAAAGTTTCAGTAGTGATTATGTTATTGTGACAGGATGAGGCTGCTAGCCTCGCTCTAAATATTCCCTCTATATGTTCTTTACTACCAGTTAAGCGAGGCTAAGGGAATCGAAACCTGGACGACTTTTATGGTTGGTGAGCATTCTACCACTGAACTGCCAACGCCAAAAAATGTTTTATAAAATCTGTAAGACCTAGTGATACCTCTTTTTCTTTTATTTGTTCTTCTTGAGCTTTGCGTATTTCTTCTCTCTGTTCTGGTGTCATACCCTTGTATCGATCTGGAATAACACGATGACTACCGAAAGCAGAGATTGCTTGAGCAGGATTTTCACTAAGAAAATCACCATATATTGCATTGCATATTTCAGTCATATTATCATCTTGTGTTTGTTTAGCCTTAAGAAGTGCTCTTTGATCATTTTCTTCTTTTAATAATTTATTATATCTTTCAAGTGCAACATTTATTGCTCGTCGACATTGTTCTTCAGCTTTTTGTAGTTCACAAGCACGTTGATCTAATTCACGCCGTTTGAGATCGTATAACCTGTTGAAGTGCAAATAAAAACAGTTAAAAGATAATATTAACATTTGCACAGTTTTAAATTACACGCTGACAAAATACAGAGTCTTCTGAACACCTTGAGCTGCAATCTGCGAATGTTAGGCATGCTATTCGCTCCAGCCAAATATAAGACGATGCTACAGGACTGGACTATATCGACTCCTAGCTTGAAAATAGGGGTAAAAGTGGTAGAGTGCCTTGACCACTTCACTAATTTGGGGAGTTGCATCAGCCAACGCCAGCGGGTTGATCGCTGATGAAATCTCAGCACGGATACAGAGGGCTAGTTGCGCATATGCCAGTCTACGCCGTCTCTGGCATAGACGTGGTATCCGGCTGGCTGTCGACTAATGGGCGTGTATACTGCTCAGCAGTCCGCTCCGTCCTCCTCTATTGCTGTGAGACCTGATCATTGAGAGTAGAAAACTTGAAAAGCCTGGCTAGCTGTCTTTGATCATAGGTGCCTGCGTTCTATCTCCCGTGATAAGTGGTATAACAAAGTGAGTAATATTGAGGTTAGGCATCGGTGGAGTGCTAGGCAAGGAGGGGAAATCAGTCGATCAGGTTGTGAAGTTACACCTACTGTGATGATTAGGACATGTATTACGCATGTCTAGTCATGGTATTCGTCTACGGGTAATGTTAGTTGATATAGGATGGATCAGGTTATAAAACAGTTGGCAAGTGGTAGTCAAACCAGAACATGGCTTCATCAGTCAATGAAATCCACAACGGTTAGTTAAAGCCACGTAGGAAAATGTAGACTTCCTGGTTGCGGTCCTCAGGACGGTAAACAACAATGGCTGGAGACAATTGGTGATATGGTTCAAAATCCTCGTTCTCAATGGCTGACGTAGATGCATCCACTCCTTGTTACTTATAATACCCAATAAAACTACATTGTTCTTCGATATTACTATTCTTTTTGCCTCATATCTCTGTTTACTGTCTCTATTTGCCTTTCTTTTTACTTTCTTCTTCTTCTTCTTCTTCTTCTGTGGCTTTGTGTGCTGATTGAAGTGTAGCGACTTGAACTGCTGCACATCAGTGCAAAGTTCTATGTTGAAACCAGTCAGTCACTGAGACAGTTTCAAATCAAAAGTTCATTTTGCTTAGTGTAATAATTAAAGAAGTCTTGACCTCACCAGAGATGTTATATACAACTCTGGTAAGGTCAAGACTGGAAAACTGCATCCAGGCCGCCAGCCCTTGTCTAAAAGGGGACTCACACATTCTAGAAAGCGTTCAAAGGAAGGCAACACGTATGGTTCATGGCATGACTAACTTATCATACGAGGAAAGACTAGACAGTTTAAATCTCTTCTCCCTTTCATACCGTAGGCAGAGAGGAGATTTAATCACAATGTTTAAAATTTTAAATAATGACTACGGACCTGACCTATTCTCTCTTTTCATTCCCACCAGGTCGTAACACCTTAGAGGACATAGCAGGAGAGTTCAAAAGCCAAGAAGAAATCATATTGCTGTTGAGTACTGGTTCTCTCACCGAGTCATAAACTCTTGGAACCGAATCCCAGAAGAAGTGGTGTCTGCAACCTCAGCTGATTCGTTCAAGAAGGGTTTGGACAACCACAGAAATTTACTAGAAAAGGATTAACATAGGCACCAAGCCTTCTATCCTCAACCAATAAATCTGAATCTGAATCTGAATGTGAATATTTATCCTGAGTTTAAATGATAATTGATAAGCTCAATAAATGATTCATTTGCTCAAAAAGCAGAGAATATATATGCTTCTGTTTAGAATAATAAACGGAAGTAGAAATTAGCATCCTCAAATGACACCACACACACACACACATACTTCATGAAATAAAACCAAAAGAAATGTTTCTTTTCAGTGACTTCATTCTCTAGGCGCATAATCGTATTTATATTACAGAAGAAAAAGCATTAAGTGACAGACACTAAACACTGCTCAGCCGATACACATGTGATAAGAATAAAGATAATTATTAAGATAATACTTAAGCGAGTGGAGTTGAAGTAGATGAATTACAAAAAGACAGTTAAATGAGAACTAGGTGATTTTGAGTGAAGAATTGTTTCTTCCTCAGGCTCTAAAGTTATAAATCCATGAATATTATAATACAAATAGCCATTAAAGGCATGTGAAAATTATGTCGGAAACTGATAGTTCGTTCGAACTATCACTTTATACCATAAATGTATCCTAATACAGTTTCCGATATAATTTCCACATGCCTTGAATGGCCATATGTATCATAATATCCATGGATTTTCAATAACTGTACAGACTGAAGAAGAATTTATCGAAAACAATTGTTCACTCAAAATCATCTTATTCTGATTACAGTTAAATAAGTGAATTGTACTGTTTGCATCTGGTGTCACCAAAAGATTCGAAATGAGATGGTGATAACAATGAAGAAGGCGAAGATACGAAGTGGAATGAGTTCAGTCTATACACACATGCATATATATATATATATATATATTTAAATGGCATGACTAAGACCATGGCAAATAAAGAGATTTAGCTAAGCATTTTTCATACATAGTTTAGGTTTTTCTCCATATGTAGCTAGAGCTTCTGCTATACATAAGTGAAGAGATCATAAACTTTTAGAATGACTGAGTCAGGCTATGTAGATAAACTAACAGGATAGATCACATCGTGCTATAGACATAAATACAACTGTTCAACTTCAAAATAAAGTCTTTGTAAAGAAGTATTTTTCGTTGAACAAAAACAGTTTTATTTGTTCAAGTCTAAAGTCTTATCATGAACTAACTTCAATTAGAGTATCGCTGAAAACCACATAGTAATAGACAGTTACTTCGTCCTGGTTTGGGAATCTTCGGCGGTAAGAACCCATGATTCCATGGAGGACCAAACACAGGACCTTTAGGTTACAAGGTGAGCTCATTTACCATTCATCCATTGGGATGGAATCCAATGATCCATCGATCCCGACTCCTGTAAATTAGAAATCTATAGCTGAACGGTCAACGAGCTCGCCTTGTGACCTGAAGGTCAGAAGTTCGATCCCCAGTAGTTTCCCAGGTGCCTACTATTGAGGAGTCCCAGTCTATGGCGACATGGCCATCCAGTACTCTCTGGCTTTCAGTGGTTTTCTAACTGAATTCAGTTTGCGATCAAACCTGAAATCAACCAAATTCCTGCAAACAACCACTAGAAAAGTAAGCATATCCTTCTTTATATGGTTACCAAGGTGAAAATAATTACCGGCTGAATGCTTTCCATTCATATCATACAAAATGTTCACATCACTGTTGTTAAAAGCCTAAGTAGGTGAAACAAACTGCAACGAAAAATGGAAGGTTATAATTTCACTAGTGATATGAAGCCAGTTTTCCAGTAAAAGTTTTATCATCACTTAAAAATTAAGAAAAATGTAACGAATTTGTTAGATGGTTTTTTTTCATTTACTCAGACTGAACACTACCTTCCCAACATTGTAGATAAACACTAAAGTCTGTTAAATTTCAGTACGCTAAAAAAAGGCAAGTTGGTTATATCATGTCATAGTTTAAATACAACGAAAATCACCATTCAGACATTTAGAAGATAAAAAGACTGAGGTAATAATACACTTTCCGATAACTTCCTCATCCAGCTCTACAGTTATGCATACTTAATATCTGAAAAATAATTGCTATTGACAACAATGATGTTTTTTAAAGAATATCAAGTTGTTAAGATCAATAGACTACAGTTTAAAAGCATGTTGGTAAAATTTTAGAAACATTACTGTTGTCAATTACAATTATTTTTTAAATATTATGCATATTACTATAAAACTTAATGGGTAGATTATCGACAAGAATAGTCCTTTCTCATTTCTTGTTTTCCTCTCACAGTTACCAAGACAACTGAGTCTTTCACAATACACTGTTAAAAATCTAATGGCAAAATTTTGGTTTCAAAAAGTAGTTGATGCTTCATTGGAATATACCTATCTAAAAATTCAAAGTGGTATCTTATAATATTTTCTAAAAAGTGAATGACATTCGGTTTCATTGCAAACTTAATGAAACTATTACTCATCATGTAGTCTTTATAGACGTTTGACATATTGTGATGGTAATTTATTCCTTAAAGCTAACTGTTTTCGGTTGTGTAATACTTGGTATTGATAGGTGACCGATACATTCCATCAGATTTATATAGCCAAGGATATCCCCTTCCTCCCCCCTCCCCTAAGAATTCACTTAACCAGATTCAAAGATCTCATAAGTTAAAAACAGGCTGCTGAAATAGTTTGGCAATTTTTAAGTGCCTGAAACCATTAGAATTTTATTTTTCCCCTCAAGGAGGTCAGCTTCAAATGAAATAGAATTCACCAACATTCATGAATTCCTTTCTTAACTTGATTTCGCTCATTGCTGAAAGAGTCCCTAGGCGCATTCGCCCTATTTTTACACAAGTCTGCAAATGAAATTATGTTGCAGAATATGAAATCTGGTGCACTTTACAAGCACCATATTATTTTACACGTGAGGCTTGAAACAACGTTTTCCCATTCTAGTGGCGATTTCTGAAATCAGGTAATGCTGATAAGTTCAAGAAAGAATGTGACAACCTCACTATAATATTAAAAGGGCGCTGTTATTACCAAAAATACTTGACCAATACGTTGACCTAATCTAATATCTGGAAAGCTAATATTAGAGGCATTAAAATTTCATTGGCATCAGAATTTTAAAACAAGCAATAAAGGTTAATATAGCAGCATTTAATGAATTCATCAAATTTCGGTAGAACTCGTCAGCTGAATACTCTACATACACGGATATATATACTTTTGAAATTACATTGGGAGATATAGGACTGATAAGTAAACAAACTATATTGAATTAGTCATGCAGAAAGACAGGTGCGAATGTTTTTCCAGGTCATGTTCAATTAGATAAGGGGAGAGAGAGTATGAGAAATCAGAATTAAGATAAATTGCATTACGCTTCAATTACATCACTTAGATAAACAATTGGACATTAGAGAATTTAACAAGAATTGCAACCAGAAGGATGTCAATAGTAATACTTATAATAACAATAATGATAATAATAAGAGTTTTGAAGTGAGTTAGGATAATCCTACTGATAAAGGATAGTTTTGAATGAATCAAGAATAATAATAATGATAATTATTATGAGAGGTAGAATTATAAGTAAAACGTATTACCATGGTAGATTCAGAGTCACGACCATCTCCTTTTGTACACAGAGACCTGGTTTATAAACTCGAATTGCACAAGCCTCTGCAATTGCAAGCATCTTCTTGTTTCTTTGTCTGCTGACAATAGTGAATGACTTGACCGCGTCGATATCATGTCCGTAATCCACAAGATGCTTTGTTATTGAGGATTTTGGCTATTTGCACTCAGCTGTTTTCAACCATCAGAAATTGTTGGTTGACGAGAACGGCCTGAAGCTATATGTTGTCCATTCAAATACCTGTAAATCGAATTAACTTGTGGTTCCTTTCTTAAGATTTCCTACGGAGAACAAACTACTACCATCATCTATATACTGTAAGAGGTAACGAAATCGTACAGTGTACTCTAAAATTAGTGCGTCATCAACCCCCTTTAGTTATGAGTACTCCTTAGTATGCATCTTACCTCCACTGCAGCGCCGCAACCTGAATGTGTTTTTCTTACATATACACTAGCATGGAAAATGACAAGCTTTCAACGATCCGACCAGTAGTTCGGTAGTAGAAATGACGAAGAAGCCTTATTAGGCTTTTCATCTAATATTTGTGTGTAAAAGTGGCAACTGGGTGTATAATTAATACTGGAAACACTGACGACAATAGTGCAAGTTCCTCAGTGTTCACCGAAAAGATGTATTGAGGTCTGTTGTCTTTCAGTCATGATAAAAATCAATATTTGGTTATCCGGATTGAGTATACCCTACCATCTGCTTCACTGTTCACTTCGTGTTCGCATTAGAACTGTCACTTGAAAGAGGAAAGTTATTACATGGCTAGAACGGTGCTATATTCACTACTACTTTCACAGAATATCATACACTAGATTTGTCAACTTATAGGTCTGTAAGCCTTATCACCTTTGCTTTTTTTGTCTCTAAGAAGAATATTAAGAAACATCACTGGAGTTTATTTATAAAGCAACTTTAAATTGCTTTATAAATAAACCTTTACCAGCGTTTATGATGGGTGTTTGACCAATTAGTGTAGAACTCTTGGTCGATGTATATGATTTTGGATTCCACACTCTGGTAAAATGTAAAATATGTGAGGAAAGGAATGTTATGATGCTGCAAAAGGCGACAAGAAGAATGTATGTTTGAGCAAAAGTCGACAGCTTCGGTTCATATGTGGAGTCTGGAACAGTATGACTTTACAGTTCTTTTGTTAGATGCTATATTGGGAACATTGTACACAACTTTTGTTTAAAACGGTCCGTTGTAAAATACAGATAACTCCGGAGTGCAATCTAAAATACAGTGTGCTGCTCGAAGCTTCACCTTCTCACTGGTCCATACTATCTATTTACTTCATTATTAACCGTGTTGTATACTTCTGACTTTGTAGAAACCTCTCGCCCTCATCCGAAGACTGTTCTATAATCAGTGCACAGCTTTTACTGGTAGAAACGACTCCAGCAGTTACCACTTTGGTGGATTATGTTATTAATTTGTAGCAACGGACTTTAACTTGTAGTGACCCGTTTTATTACTCATAATCGTACTATACTTTCATTGTGTAATTGTACTTTCATTTATTTATTATTCTAAATCTGGCATGTTAACAATTGATACCTTTTGTACTCGCTCGATTTTTGAATTGTTGATTGCTGCAATAATACACTATCGTATTCCTTCGCAAGTGCCTTTTGAATTACGTTGCGAATGTCGAGTAATCGCAACGTTAGGGCACAATTGTAAACGCGAGGAAGTATTAGGATATGTGTATACGCTAGTTCAATCAAAATATAGAATTCAACAAACTGTATAATCAAGTAACCATTAATTTACACAACTCATTAACTGTAATTTTTATGGTACACTGTTACACTATCATTTCATTAAGTTGGACTTTTATTCTAATATTTGTTCTGTTAATGAGCTCAACATAAATTCCCATACGCATGTCACTTGCAGTTTTTGACCACTGACTTTCAGAATTCAGGGGGTCTCAATCAAATAATACGTCCCCACGTGGGCTTTCTACCAACAATCTGTGATTTCTTCGACTGACAACTTGTTGTAACCTGATAACCAATAACTCTCAACCTATTCCGAATTCACCTTACACTACTTATAAAAAAGCAGACGTTTGGATTTGTAATGTGTATCTCAGCTAGCTCAGCTGATAGATCAAGATAAATTTCCTTCTACTTGATAAATCGCTAGGCTAAATAAGGATGGCTCCGATCTGAAGATAACAAAAAATCTATCAATCTAATCTGTCTAGATTTTATTAGACTTTTTGATACTGCAACACATACTGGGTTGTTCATGAAAGTGCAAAGGTTTGAAGTCCCCAAAAACCTTGTTATCTAGATCACAAAAGCTCATAGTTGGTAAGAGACGAAGTGCAAGTAGTAAATCCGAAATCTTATACCTGATTCCACTGCAGAATCTAGTGAGAAAGAATGCAGCTTTTAATGTATTATTTTTTCCTATGCGTTTACAAATAAAGAGATACTAGGAAACAGGAGTTGCCTTTATTTCCCACAAATCAGCCCAAAAAGAACTACTTTAGCCATTATTTTGTGACAGCGAAAAAAACAATATAGTCTGCTCACTTCCTGTTTCATATGAAAAATAACTTGTAATTTATTACAGAGTCGCAATTTCTTCTGCCAAGACATAATTACGTTGAGGTAATCAATATGATAAAAAGGTAACCATGGGAGGTATTCATTTTGCCTAGTAGAATTTCACAGTGAATATAAGCATATAAAATGAAAGAGATATAAAAGTGTCACACAATCTACCTGTCTGCTTCTTTTTGGGCCTTCTCAGCTCTGTTTCTTTCCTCGATTTGCCTATCGAACCAATCTTGCATTTGTTCTCTTTGATACTTCATTCTAGCTTTTAAGTTTAGATCCTCACCATCAAATTTTTGGAGAGAGGCAACTCCACATCGAGGATCATCATCTGAAACACGAGCTGGACGGTCTAACTTTAACGCATTCGGGTCATAAAGGTCGAACTCCCTCCTTGACTCAGGTTGTTGATGGAGAGATCTAAATTCGTTGAGACATTTTGCAATTTCCCTTTCATCTCTCTGCTGACGCTTCTCAAGTATACACGCAATTTTGTCGTTACGAACGGCATCAGCATCTAAAAACCATATGGTTTTGAAGAAATAATGTACCATAAGCCAAATCCCTTTCTTTTTCACGGATTTCTTGTCGTTTTCTTTCTTCTACCTGGTGTTTTAAAGCCTCCTCATCTATCTGCCATCAAGGATATTTCATAATATTAAAAACAACTTACCCCTATCTGACGAGTCCGTGCATCGAATATGCGGGCCTGGCGTTCTTTTTCTTTTCTCCTCCTGGCTTCAATAACTGCGGCCTCTTTGGTGTCAATCGGTAGATCTAGTTTATACATTGGTCATAACAGACTGAAACTTTTGAAAGCGTCCCACCTCGGTTGTTATGGAGATCCAATATCCAATATCCAATATCCTGATTACGAGCTAGTATAAACCAGTGATTTCTTTGAGCTCGCTTCTTGATTTTAAGGTAGAGGTTCCAGATCTTCGGTGAACTTATGCGTAGTAAATCCCGCCACTCGACTGCTTTAGCTCTGGTAGACTCCAGGAGGAGTGATGCGAGGATTGGTCAAGATTGTGGTTTGTAGTGTGCAGTATGTTAGGACTCAGCTGCTGCCGTGAATGGAGTTTGACCTAACACCCGTCGGTCATTCGGTATAGTCATAAAAGTAGAGTAATAATAATAATAATGATAATGATAATAATAGGTTGTAGTGTAGATAATATAGGTTGAGATAAGTGAAATAATAAAGAAAGAAAGATAGAGTAGTCGGTACAGTGGGAGAAGACAGGACGGGTCGTGAAGATTTAGCTTGTATGCTTATCCATTGACAATGTGGTTTCAAATTTTAAGAGGGTAAGCCATTGAGACACAAACCATGCATTTCTGCATGATTGTCCAGCTTCCGCTTAAAAATCTCCACAGATGGAGCTGTAGTTACGGCCGCCGGTAAAGCGTTCCAGAGACGGCAAACTCGAAGCGAGAAGAAATGTGAACGCACTCGAGTCCTTGGTCTCTGGTGTGCTATCCTTAGCGGGTTACCTCGTGGAAGCCTATAATCACTTAATGGCAGGATGCTCTTGTTAGGATGGGCCTGGTCATTTAGGATCTTATAGACGGTGATGAGGTCTCCCCTGTGACTACGGTAACTAAGTGTGAAAAGACTTAATTTCTTCAGTCTCTCCTCATATGATTTGTTGCGGAGGCCGATCACCCATTTTGTCGCTCGTCTCTGGACACTTTCTAGCATGTTAGCATCCCTTTTGAGTAGCGGAGGAGCAATGATATTATGCACCTCAAGGAGTGGCCTCACGTATGTCGTATACAACGTTAGGAATAGTTCAGGAGTAAGAGCTCCCAGTTGCCTATGCATAAAGTGTAAAGTGCCGTAAGCTTTGGCGACGTCCCTCGTGTAATTTACACTGGTGTCTAGCTTTTCTGTTAAAATAAGGCCTAGATCGCGTTCTGATGGCACACAACTCAAGTTCTGGCCACCAAGGGTGTAATTTGCACTCTGTGACCTGCCGGAATGAAGTTGCACTACTTTGCACTTCTTTAAGTTGAAAGGCATTCCGTTAGCCAGAGCCCAGTCCCCCAGCGTTTGCAGGTCAGCCTGCAATCTGTCGGAGTCTTCCGATGAGTTTATTGCTCTCCAAATCTTTACGTCGTCAGCGTAAAGAAGCGCAGAGCAATTCAGTTGACAGGGCAGGTCATTGATAAAAATCAAAAACATCAACGGCCCTAAGATAGAACCCTGAGGAACCCCTGATGCCGAGGTGTGCCAGGATGATCGGATGCGGTTGACTTTGGTGCAGAATTCTCTCTCGCCTAAATAATCTTCCAGCCATGCGAGAAGTGCTCCAGAAACACCCGCTTTGCTTATTTTGTGAAGGAGCAGACCATGGTGAACTGTGTCGAATGCTTTCGCAAAGTCGAGAAAGATCACATGGACTGGTACCTTTACATCCCAGGATAGTGTCCAATCGTTCCAAGCTAGTAGAAGATTCGTCACACAGGATCTTCCCTTCCTGAAACCATGCTGTGCTTCATGGAGTAGGTTAGTCCCGTCGAAGTATTTTCTCATGTGGTCGTCAATGAGACTTTCGAATATCTTCGATATCACTGGGAGTAGCGCAACTGGTCTGTAACTGGTCGCGTTCTGCCGGTCACCACCCTTGAAGATAGGGGATAGGATGGCTCGTTTCCATTCACATGGAAGTTTCCCTACATCAAAGGAGTGTTGAAACAGATCACTTAGGGGTTGGCAGAGACTTTCTGAACACTGCTTCAGGACGGATGGTCTTATGTCGTCGCAACCTGCAGACTTTCCCGAAGCCAACTTTCCCAATTTTATGAGTACCATAGCCGGGGTAATTTGAAATGTACCCAGCAGGTTTTCGCACGTTGGTCTTGCATTGTAATCTTGATGTTTTGTGAGGGTAAAATCCTCGTTACTGTTCAGTTGCCTGTGAAAGGCTAGACTGAATGTCTCTGCCATTTCAAGACTAGTAAGAGATTTCCCATCAGAACCCACTATATTGCAAGCTCCCTGGTTGGTCGGTTTTCTTTCAGACATAAACCTGTATAGGCTTTTGGGGTTCACGAGAAGCTTATTGGCGAGGTTTCTCTGAAATGTCCTTCTATCACTCCGGACTCGTATGTTACACCGATTCCTGAGTTCGAGGTACTCTTCATGTTCGGGTTGACTCTGCGATACTCGCCACGCAAACCAGGCTTTTCGCTTCGCCTGTAGAAGGCGTTGTGTCCCCCTTTTTAGCCATGAACGTTGCTTTCTAGCTTTAGGTGTGACCAAAGGAACAGTGTCTGAGATCGCCTGGTGAATGATCTCCTTTACCACTCTCCAGTGTTCTTCTACTGTAAGCTCTGTCCAATTTTTTGGCCAATTTGCTTCAGACAAAAGTCTTCGCATTTCGGTGTAATTGGCTTTGTTATAACACAGATAGGGCTGTGTATTGTCCCACTGTAAACGCTCGCGGAGGACTATGTCGAATGTTATGACCGCATGGTCACTACTACCTATGGGAGTCGTGATCTGAACGTTTTCCACTAGTAGCTGGTCACTAGTGAGCACGTAATCCAGTCTAGAAGACTTCCCATCTGGGCCCCATCTAGTATCCATTCTGACATTTTCGGTGAATCCGGCCTCCGTGATGGTATGCAGCAGATTTCGATCAAATCTGTCCTGGGCACATCCCGTCATCAAGTTAAGAGATGGGGCATTGAAGTCTCCAGCTATGACAATTTGATCATAACCCAGGTCATGTGTCGCTGAAATTGCATTCAGCAGTACCTGGTTGTGGTCTGCTCCACATGAAGGTGATCTGTAAATGCTGCCCACTAGATACTTACAGTACCCAACGGTGAAATGGCACCATATGGAGTCAGGGAGCTCAATGAGGGGAGGGTCGATTGCATGGACACATCTGAGCTGTTTGTCGACGTATATGGCGACTCCACCTCCTTCTTTCAGATCCCTATCTCGCCTGACAAGGACCATATCATTTATACTGACTTCGCTGTCTGCCACCGTAGGGGTTAGCCAGGTTTCCGTCAGTATTATGATTTTGGAGTTCAGCTGTGATTGTAGGTATCTAAGTTCAGCTATTTTGCCTCTTAGACCTCTCACATTACTGTACAGGCAACTGGTAGTCAGTCTCACCACGTCCCCGTATTGGGGGGTGGTTGACGTGATGTGGGCTGTCGGTTGAGGAGTTATCCTACGAACTAGTTGGCCGATTCCCCGGGAACCGGCCTGTTGGAGTTTTTTTCTTCTGATTCAATCGGAGCACTTGGATGGCACTGGCTATCATCGTCCGTGCTGCACCGCTGTATTGTGACTAGGGGTTGGGGATGTTCTATGACAACGTTTTGCTCTCTCCTTTGGGTACGAGGCCGGCTCTCGCAGCAGCGAATGTGTCTGCTGACCTTGTCTTTGGTCTCGTACCATCTCTGGAGAGCAGTAGTCAAGTGGTCTCGGGAGCTAAACTTAACAGCTAACAGATGTGGGGTGTTAATTGACATTAGGTGAGTGGGTCGAGGCAGTCTAAAAATAGAGACAGCCCCTGAACTTCCCAGACCCATCTGGGATGCCAACCATCTCCATTGCTGGACATCGTGACAGTGCTTCTCACAAGCGTTCCCAGTTTCCAGTTCAGGAATGCCGTGAACAACCATGGAGGCAGAAGGAATAAGCTCTGGCGACTCCCTCGCCATCTGTCTTTCCTTCCATGGCCTATCTGGCCTAACACGTATATTGCAGGTCCTCCCTATAGAAAGGACTTGGGAAGTCAATAAAACTTTTTCGGCATCTTCGGCAGAGCCTAGTGTTACCCTCAGTGGGGATGGTTTGCCTTGAGGAGCAGCAGTGCCCTTATACAATCTGCACAGTTTTACTGGTTGGATGTCCAGACCCAGTGTGCTACATAAGTTGGACCACTGTTCCTGATCAAACAGGGCCCTGTTTTCCAGCAGACTACTGCTACAGTCTGGTACATTAAAGAGGATAACGCAGTTTGATCGACTGACCGTGGATTTAGGTTCGGTCCTCGCACATTTGTCATCCCCCTTAAGACCGTTTTGTTTCATCTGGTGCAACTGGGTATTATTATGTGTCGCAGTGCTGTGGCCACTTTTACTGGTGGACGGTAAGGGTCTTTTCCCGGCGACAGGTACCCTTGGTGCTTCAACCTCTGTGTCTGGGGCGGTTATGGCAGGAATTGCAAGTATAACCGGTGTGGATTTTGGTATCCCCGATTTACATGCAATTGTGCTGTTTTCTGAGTTGGTGGGAGTGAAACGTTTCACGTTTTTTCCTGATATCTCTATGACATCTGTAGCTTTCGAGGAACTACACGAGGCTGCATTAGGACGGCAACTTGGGCAAATGTACCAGAACCATGGGCATGGGTTCTTACGCATAAAATCGTAATATACCTTTGGTACCCCGGTGTCACATCTACAATGTACCCATTGCTTACAAAAGTTACATTCGAAAGCAGAATCTGCTTGTTCGACAATAGAATTGCAGACCTTGCAATCGTCTGCCTTCTTGGGGAACGTTGTAGTCGTCTTGCGACGTCGTGAACGTTTCTTATTGGCCTTCCTGTTTGTTTCAAGGCCTACTGTGGATATAGGTGTCATACTATTCACCTGTTTGCTTAGTTTGGCTGAAGCTCTGGTGACTACGGTGCATGGTCTCCCATTACTTATCTTGGGATGAGAATCTATAGTCATTTTACTCCTAAAATAATACCGATGATTAAATGATAAGAGAGAGTGGAGTTTTGTCCAATAGACTGACAGCAAAAGACAGTAGAAAGCACAGAACGGAAAGATAAAGTATATA